TATATGTATATGTATATGTGTGTGTGTGTGTGTGTGTGTGTATATATATATACCCTCAAAAGAGGGTGGAGAAAAATACATTGGTCAGATTTTACAGAACAATGTGGGAAGTCTGTCTCTGAGACAGTTATCTGTCTGCAGTTGAGAAGGACTGCAAGATTTTATCTACACAAAATGTTACATTTGTGATTGGTTTTCTGTAATTTTATTCAGAATTGCATATTTTTTTTAAAATTCTTCATTTAAGTTTGCAAAGGTGGCTTAGATTTTTGAAGGGACATGCACACAGCCACCTTGCCCTGGCTCTGAGATGGCCAGCTTACCAGTCATTGAGGACATGTCTTTACAGCAGAACATCCATCTTGAATGCACTTAAGCGGACTGTAGCTAAATCAAAGAGATCTGACAGGAAACTAGTGCTTTCCAGTCGGAAATGAAATAAGTCATCCCCTATGCAAACATACTACATTGCATGGATCAGAAACTTGAGGGAAGTCTGTGATCTGATGGGCTCCAATTGCCTGCTGCAGAGCCACTCCCTCCAATCTGATCACAGAGCTTTGTGTTTCTGCAATTTTTCCTTTGTCTGGTGGAAAATTGTTCAACCAGCAGCCCTTGTTTTGTTTTGTTTTGTTTTAATTTTATTTCATTTATTTTAGAATAATGACTTTGTGGAAGGTATTCCTCAAGTAGGATGTTCCTCCTGGTTACCACTGCCAGGAGCCACCAGAGTGATCCCTGTCTTTACCTCTGTGCTGACTGGAGAGCATTGCTGCCTCTCCTACATGTCATGGGGTGGTAGCAGTGCTCTCCAGCAAGAGCTGAGGTATGGTTAGGGATTGCCAGGGTGAAAGGCAGTGAAGAATCCATGCTGGGGTATCTCATTCCTGTGCTCCTGTCTTTGAGTGAGGGCAGGATTTTGCTGTTTCCATTGTTGAGGCATGGCAAAGGGACTGCTCTGGGGACAATGGTTTTCAACCGACTTCCCTTCTTGAACAAAACACATTTCTGAGCTCTAGCCTGGTTTTTATTATTTGGGTTTGTGACAATTATATTTATTTCTTGTCCATAGTGATAGTCTTATTAAAAAATATAAAATAAAAGATCTAGGTACCCATCTCCTGAGCTGATAAATTGTTACTTCAATAAGCTAGGGGGAAAAAAAAATTACTATGCCTAGGATTGTTTCATTTGCAGGAAATTAATGTCCTAATTAATTTTCATTTGTTTTGTAAATTAGGTCTCTTATTCACTGTAAATATTTTCCACACCTTATAAAGCAACATTTTGAAGAGCCACAAGTTGATCCACTTCCTGAGAAGATGAGAGAATCAGTGGTAGGCTTCCTTTTTTTTGGGGGGGGGGAAGTCTTATTGGGGCCTTTGTGAAGGTATCATCTGAAATGCCATAGCCATTGTATGATATTGTATTAAATTGCTCAAATTTCTGGGGAGAGCTGTAAACTGGTCCAGATGGATTCTTTGTTGAATGACAGAAGAAGAACAGTTTCAGGGACACACTGTTGCTCTTCTTCCTTACTCTCAGATTTTCCTCCACTCCAACTTACATAAAAAAGTAATTGGGATTCTTTACTGTTTTAAGATGCTTCAAAGCAACCTATTTACTTTTTTATTACCAAAAATTCTGTAGGTTTTTTTTTTTTTTTTGCCTTTGAGTCAGAGTTGACTTCTGGCAATTACATGAATGAGTCCATGCAATTTCCTAGGCAGCATTTTGAGAAGTGGTATGCCATTGCCTTCTCCCTTGGGCTGAGAAGGAATGACTGGCTCAAGATCACCCAACTGACTTTCATGCCCAAGGCAGGACTTGAATTCAGGTTTTGCTGCTCTGAGTCCAGCATCTTAATCACTCAACCAAACTGGGTCTCATGCCTCTCAGTAGTCTCAATTAGTTGTAATAAAACAACCCATGATGGCACCCCAGTGTAGCTTAGGTATCCAAAGCTTGTCTAAAATGAAAAGTTTTCAACATTTGCCTGAATGCTGGAAGAGAAGGGACCAGGCACACCTCTGGGGACAGATTCTTGGAGCTGGTTGGTGAAAGCATTCAATGCAGAACTCCAATTCAACACTGCATCCATCCGGAGACATCCATGCAGAGTTCTTTATGTATTTGGAATTTGGTGTGATTTGTAGTTGTATGTTGTCCCAGGAAAACCTATGCCTTTTAACAACATTTATTAGCTGGGAAAGGTGCTACCAGGCTCCTCCTGATTCTCTGGGGACAGAATGTCGTATCATGTGAGGGTTTATACAGAGAAACCCTGCTTTCTCATCCATGCCTCTCTTATTTCACACTGGAGCAGAACTTTGAACTTACTGTGGGAGTGGAGGTAGTAATAATATATACAGTATTAGAGATATATACTGCCTTTTCCATGTGAACATTAGTAACCATTCTCTAAAAAATATGAACAGTTTAAACTGAAAGGATGGAAGAGATATATGGTTAGATTTAATACTTTTAAAATTCAAAGCAGTCATGGCAGGCCTTTGGTCTTCATCAGTGCAGCAGTGCCAACAGAGACAGTGGTGTGCTGGAGCTGGCTTGTACTGGCTCACGAGAGTCGATTGTTAAGCTGAGCTGTGGCATTTAGCACACTAATCAGCAGCTAATGGTGTAGTGCAACAGTAACAATGATGCTGGCAGAGCTGGTTGTTATACCTTTATTGGCATACCACTGAGCAGAGAGTAAGGCAAATGCTATGGTTGGATTCAAAGGCAAAAAGGTATTTTGGGTGCATGGGGCATGCCCCTAGAACCTGTCTGAAACCCCTTAAGGCAACTGAATCCTTTCCTGAGATAGTGAAGCTGCCCTCCACAGCTGTTGGGTGATTCCTCGAAAGCACATTTTTTGTTCTAGGAATTGCTTCTTGGTCTGCAGCTTCGAAGCATATTTTTTGCCTTTGAATCCAAGGTGCTATACAGCTCTGGCAAAGATAAATTGATCGTTTCCCTCTATGCTGCTTGCATTGAGTTGTTCTTCCAGAGATTTTAGTGACTCATTAGGGAGTTTTAGGAAATAGCGTAAGGCACATAGATTTATCTGTATTGAAGAGGGACAATAGCTCAGTATCGCTCCCCTCCCAGTCAAGAAAGCAGTTTTTGAGACATTTGCTGTGTAGGAAGTATAGAATCAGTGGGCCAAAGTCATAATCACATTGCTATTGTTCTACTGTTAGGTTTTGTTGTGAAAATCGGCTTCTCAGGTCCCATATCTACCAAGGAAAATAGGCATCATTGGCTAGGTGTTCACTGTGCTTATATAAAAAGTTCAGAATGTAAAAAAGTTATGAATAGCCTCTATTGGCATCAGCACCCCTTCCTTCCTTCCTTCCTTCCTTCCTTCCTTCCTTCCTTCCTTCCTTCCTTCCTTCCTTCCTTCCTTCCTTCCTTCCT